TTTGAACACTTGAACATCCCACCCAAAAATGTGAACAGTGACAATTTTTGTGGTTTTCTTGTTACCATTGGTACCCCATTAGACCAATGGCAAATGTCTTGGCAGGTTATCGAGCATATTGCAATGAGCCGTGTTTCGAAGGCACTTCGAGCCGTTGCTTGGCGTTTGGAGGTTCATATCCATTCACAACAAAAAACTCAATCTGGGTTTCGACACCGGCGTCCAAGGTGACATAAGGTGACTTTTGACCCATCCCATTTATAATTTCGGATCCCTGAGAATTTTCTGAAATTTGTCCAACAACTATTGTGTTTTTTCATTTTTTTCCAGTCCACATATTTAAAGATGATGAATTTGGGGTGATGTTGGGATCCGGATCCTGCAATGAGGTCATGCAGCTTGATACCATTCACATGGTCTCCTTGGCACAAGATGGACGAATGGTTGCAGCTACTGAATTAAAAGAAGGAGCCTCTTCTGCAGATATCAACCCAGGATTTTTTGTTGACCTACTAATTTTGGATATACCGTTTAGAGGGGGAAATATCATTATTTTGGGAACCCCCGCTGATATTCATACACTGGGGGTTTATCAATCCAAGGCGTACAGTTAACAGTAGATGATGGTTCGTATTTGCACATATTTTCAGCTTAAATGATCTGAAAAGGATCTTTAGTAGATGGTCATTGGACTTCTGAGACCTGTCGGAGTGTGTCACACTTTCTCATGACTTTCACAGTACGAATCGCGCCGCAGGGGATGTCATTTCTTTGCGTCCTGGTGAAGAATGTCCAGCAGATGGGGTGGTCACCAGAGGATCGGCATCTTGCTCAGAAGCCGTCCCTTGGTTTGGAAACAAAAACGGGATCCTGGCAGGTCGCTGGTGGAAAGTGACCAATCCACTGACCCGATAACCTGGGGATGTGACCCCAACCAGCCAAGAATTGCACGGTTTCTTTGACTTGATTTGACTTTTGAAGAGCCCTACTGGGAGAGGTTCCAGTTGGCAATCCGTTTGTCGTAAGTTTTTCCATCATTTTGATCACACTGCTTTGATCAGCTTTGGAGGTTTGACTTCGCAGTACCAAGCCCTAAATGACGCTAGAGCAATCAGCGGATCGCGGATCTTAGGCCATCACTGGTGAAGCACGTCCCGTGGAGAAACGGAAGGAACACAAGATTTCCTCCGGCTGCGTGATTTTGAATGGCTACGTTGAAGTCACTTTAACGAAGGATCATGCCAACTCCACACTCTCGCAGATTGAGGCGAAGGTGGAGGAAGCTCAAATGCAGAGAACTGGCAAGCAGCTCATGTTGGAACGCTTTGCACGCATTTGGACACCTCTAGTCCTCCTGACCGTGTCTTGGCTAATTAGTCAGACTTGGAAAAGTGCCACGAGATTTTTTCCCCATTCCCCATTCCCCATGGATCCCCATGGCATCTTCCGCAGTGGCAGCCAGGTGCTACTTGTTTGCACGGTGGTACCTTGGGCCAGTGGCCAAGGTTTCCACAAATGGATCCACCGCGGTTTGGTGTCTGGGCATCGATGTTTTCCCATCTTCCCATTGAGATCCGCCAGAACTGGGGGAGTCTATTGGGAATATTTGGGAATATACATCCAAGGTATACTATTGTTGAATATCATTGAATATCAATTAATATAATATCTTAATAAGATACATGCGAATACTTAGATCATCTTAGATCCCATGGTGAATCATCAAAAAATGATTTTCGTCATGGGAATCTCTGGGTGAATCCTCCAGATTTCCAGGTGATTCTCCTCACCGCCTGCCCCTGTGCCATCGTCATCGGCGCGCCCCTGGCGACGACCTGCGCCATTGCCGCGGCGGCCACCAGGGGATTGCTCATCAAAAAGCCGGATACCGTGGAGCTGCTGCAACTCGGATGGGAAGGCTACCATCTGGTAAACAAACACTTTGCCATGAAATTCCCTAGCCATCCCCATTCCTATGGCTATAAGTTATAAGTTACAATATGTTGTAATATGTTATAACATGTTGTAATATGTTATACTATGTTATAATATGTTACAATATGTTATAACAATCCTTATTAATGTGGGTAAAACAATGCTATAAACCACCCATGGTGTATACCACCTATTAAAGTGGTGGTTTGATGTGATGACTGGGGGATGGTTCATTATTGTTTTAATATCTAATATGCTATGATGATGAGGGTGATACAACCTAGATGCACAACTCACAAGGGTTTTGTAAGTACTGTGTGATGCAAATTATACTTCTGTAACTTCCACAACTCCATGAGAAAACTCACAATCACACCTGGAATACTTAAACGATCTTGCGACATTGGAGTGTCATACGGATATTGCATCATATCAATGTTCACACAGATATACCAGCACGTACCTGCAACTTCAACAAGAACTTTTTTTTTAAAACAATGGTTGGTGTTTAAAAACAAATCCAAGTGTTTTGCATGTTTTTACCCTATCGCCTTTTTCTTTGGCTGGCACAGCCGTAACTTGCTAAAGCCAGGCCCTCCATCCGAGCCGCTGGCCTGGACAAGACAGGAACGCTCACAAAAGGTGAATTTGCAGTTCTCCGTGTGGAAGAATTCAAGACGAGCGTCGCACAAGCAGGCGCAACATGCCATGAATATCCATGGTGCAAATATGTGCAAATCATGGCGCAACTGGAGTTTTTTCACAGATTCAGCCCGCAGTTCATAGATCCATAGCATATATTACCCAAATCAGGAGATCCATATGTTTTTTTTTGGTAATATATATATATGGTAATATAATATGGACAATCCATTTTGGCTTGTTCTCCCAGTTTGACTCAGTTTTTCCGTAGGAGAGATGGACCCTTTGAAGATGGCAGCTGCAGTGGAGATGCGGCTCGACTTGAGCAACTGCCATCAGTTATAACCTGGGGAGAAAAACAGCAATGTGGGATACAAAATGGGAACATCGTGATAATATCTGATAATATGGGGATAGAATTGGCATGAATTGGTTTTTGGATGCAAACTTTGTGTCATTGGTAGCAACAAGACATCATGTTTTCCAATCCTTTCTGTATTTTTCTACCAGCGCATTGCGCCATGTGACGCGCGCAGGAAATCGGCTCACCCCATTTCAGCGGCGATCGTCTCCCGAGCAGTTGGCTGTATTGGGGACGCCTTTGAAGCTGCAGAACTGCCGGAAGTGAAGAAGTTTCGCAATCTGCCGGGCATTGGCATCCAAGGCTCGCTACCGCCTTGTAGCAATTTCTTGAAATGTCTGGAAGTTGCAGCCATCCAAACTGTGCAAGCCTCAAAGCAGCAAAAACAACAAGGAGCGAGAATGATGATAAGCAAAATCAGAATCATAATGACAAATCAATAGTAATTTGAATATGAATGCATCAGTGTGATAATTAGTGACAATGAGAATGATCATAACGATGACGACAGGAGGAGGAGGAGGAGCAGGAGGAGGAAGACAAGGAGAAGGAGGAGGAGGAGGAGGAGGAGGAGGAGGAGGAGGATGAAGAGGATGAAGAGGATGACGATCATGACGATGATGACGATGATGACGATGGATGACGAGGATGACGAGGATGACGAGGATGACGAGGATGACGAGGATGACGAGGATGACGAGGATGACGAGGATGACGAGGATGACGAGGATGACGAGGATGACGAGGATGAGGAGGATGACGGAGGAGGAGGAGGAGGATGAGGAGGAGGAGGACGACGACGACGACGACGACGACGATGATGATGATGATGATGATGTCAACAGTAAACATCATTTATAGGTGACAAGGCATGATCATTGGATGAAGAATGCAGATTTTCTTGACTCCAGCCAGGCAACGTGTCCTTCGAGTCGAGCGTTGCCACCGTGTTGGTTGGCAACAAGAGGGTCCTGGATGCGGTGCATGCAGATCCAACAGCTCACGCGAGGTTCAGCACTTTCCAGGCGCAGCATCCCAATGATACCACCGTGGCGGTGGTGGTCAATGGCAGCTCCGGCTTCAAGCCGACAGGGAGGTCATCAATGGCGGTATGGAGTCATTGAAAATTGGGCATCACATGGTAGTATAATATACCCTGAGAAGCACAGATACACATAGACTAAAATTAACAATGGCCATGGGTCAAAATGACAAAATGAGCAGATCACAAAAGCACAATAGTCAAAATGCTTAGCACTAGCAATGACAATAATTGTGGGCCATGGGCCCCCATTTTTTGAACGCGGACCCACAATTCCCAGTTAGGCCATAATTCTGTGAAATTAAACGCTTGCCCAAGTATAGACATAACTTAATGTTCACCTATGATTTATAAATAGCCCCCCCCCTCTTTGCCCCTCAATAAACTTAAAGCCACCATCAAACTTGTTTGTATGTAAAGGTTTTCAATTACCACAATTTAAAACGATAGTATAAAATGCAATTTCCAAAAAAAAGGAAACCAACAATTGTTTTAGTATTGATCTAGTACTCATGTCATGAATTTAGTATTGATTCAGTATTCATGGATTTAGTATTGATTTAGTATTCATTTCATGGATTTAGTATTGATTTAATATTCATTTCATGGATTTAGTATTGATTTAGTATTTATTTCATGGATTTAGATTCATTTCTTGATCAGCGGGAGGGGGAAGCTCAGTAGCTTTATTCAGGGTCAAACTCTAATTGGTGCTAAGTCACCTTATGGGGGGTACCCTTGATGAGTTGATTTGGAGTTGATTTTGGATAATTTTGAATATATAAAGGTTTTGAATAGAAAGAGCATCCATCATTTTTGACAATTTCCAGCTATCATTTTTGAATAAAGGTCTTGAATAGAAAGAGCAACATATAGGATAAGCCAGAAAAAATACTTTACTTCGAGTTATCCCCACCATGACATCCATACGTTTTGTTGCTGGCAAATCTTGTGGCATTCTATCTGACATATCTTCTGGCATTTTATCTGGCATATCTTCTGGGATTCTATCTGGCATATCTTCTGGCATATCTTCTGACATTCTATCTGGCATTCTATCTGGCAAATCTTCTGGCATATGTTCGGGCAAACATTCTGGCACTTTATCTGGCATACCTTCTGGCATTCTATCTGACATTCTATCTGGCATACCTTCTGGCATTCTATCTGGGCTGGCATATCTTCTGGCATATCTTCTGGCATTCTATCTGGCAAATCTTCTGGCATTCTACCTGGCATATCTTCTGGCATTCTATCTGGCATACCTTCTGGCATTCTATCTGACATTCTATCTGGCATACCTTCTGGCATTCTATCTGGCATATCTTCTGGCATTCTATCTGGCAAACATTCTGGCACTTTATCTGGCATATCTTCTGGCATTCTTTCTGACATTCTATCTGGCATATCTTCTGGCAGTCTATCTGGCCGTTGAGGTCCAGCGGTGCGCACTGAGCTCGGAAGGTCCCAGGTTGAGGTCCAGCGGTGCGCACTGGGCTCGGAAGGTCCCAGGTTGAGGTCCAGCGGTGCGCACTGAGCTCGGAAGGTCCTAGGTTGAGGTCCAGCTGCGCACTGAGCTGGGAACGTCCGAGGTTGAGGTCCAGCGGCGCGCACTGAGCTGGGGAGCTCCCAGGTTGAGGTCCAGCAGCGCGCACTGAGCTGGGAAGTTGGCGAAGAGCTTGGCGTTGGCAAGGCGGAAGTGGAGGTGGAAGTTGATGCAAACATGGTCGAGGAGAAACTGGAGGAGGAAGCGAGGAGGAGGACGACGAGGAAGAGGACAGCTAGTCGAGGAGGAGGAGGAGGAGGAGGCGGGCAAGAGCTCTGATAAAATCTAACAACCCTCACCTGGCAGGTAGGGAATTAGGGCCAAAAAAGTTTACAGTAGCTTTATTTAGGGGTCATTTAATATTTGTTTTGGGGCTCTGGTTAGCTTTATTTAGGGTGGGTTTAAAAATCGTAGGTCAACATTATATTATAAAAAAAAGACTTTATCCAAGAAATATTACTTACCGTCAAAATATCATGAAGTGTCAAAGTGTCAATCGATTTTGTCAGATTTTACCGGGAAAACGAAACCGGCTCGGGCCTTGAGGTATCTTGAAACTGGGCCTGGCCTTGAATGACATTATCCGCAACGACGCAGCAGCAATGGTGAGCGACTTGAAACGCCTGGGATGTCAGCCTGTCATGCTAACTGGAGATGCTGAAGACGCAGGAAAAAGTGTTTTTTGGGACTTGCATGGCACATTTTCGAGTATCAGATCCTCAACAACTCTGAACTCTGACAGTGGGGAATTGAATAGTAATTTTGAAGTTGAAGCTAGTTTTATCGGAAGTTCAAGTTTTTTTTTTGAGGATTTGGAAACTTCCTAAATCTACCATTGGGCCCCCCTGGATTTTAGCGCCGCTTGTGGCTCCTGGATTTTTTTCTGAGTATTCACCCCGCTTCGCGTGGGGTGGCCGCCCACACCGCAGGTTTATTTCGGTCCGTGAGAGGGGCTAAGGGTGGTTTTCCCCCGTGGGGGCTCTTCAAGCTAAGAAGTTTCAATAAGAAATCCTTCCAAAACATTGTTTTTGACAGTGTTTTTCCAATGTTTCCAGTCAAACAGACGGTAATTTACACGTTTTTTGCCATAAAGGCAGTAAATCCTTCCAAAACATTGCTTTTGACAGTGTTTTTGTAATGTTTCCAGTCAAGCATACGGTAATTTACACGTTTTTTGCTATAACGTCAGTCCAAAACACTTGTTTTTGCAGTGTTTTCAATGCTCTGGCATCCAAAAACCCTGCAAAATCTTGCTATGTACAATGTTTTTTTCATTTTTGGCCGTTTTTCCATTGCCGGAAAGCTACCAAAATGACCCAAAATTCCATTTCAATACCCTCTTGCGCTCAGACACCCAAAAATCCTCGAAAAATGTCGAAAACACCACCGTATTCTGGTCTCGGTGCGAAACCGTTTTTGGGGTCTGGTCTCGGTGCGAAACCGTTTTTGGCCCCCCCCCCAGCTAAAGCTGATATAGCGACTGCTATATTAACAAATGTCATTGAGCATTTAGTGTTGCTGTTGCCCCCCAATAAGCACGCCTTCACCGCCAAAGCGGTGTGGGCGGATTTCTCATTGGTTTCCAGTTGCATGGGAACATTTCTTGTCACTGACAATGTCACTTCCATTCCCACCTCCCTTCATATGGCTATGGGTCAATACCTATAGATACATTTTTAGTGGGATGAACATCCATTTACCAACTATTTTGATGTTCACCAGGGGTACAAGGTTTTGACACACTGCCATATCTTTCATCAGTGGTTCTACCTGACACGGGAGTGCCATCTTGTGCCACTCCCGTTGATCCGCTAATGAACGCCCAAAAAGGTTGCCGTTGCCACCGGCCTGGACCCTGAACTGTGCCACTTCTCAATGCACCCAGAGGACAAGCTCCAGTGGGTTCACGAGCAGGAAAGTGCAGGTGAGCTGAAAATGTTGGACAAATGATGACAAATCGTATGGATTGGTAATTTTTGAGCCAGTCCCAACTATCTTTTTTGTGCATAAGGACCCTTCATACCCATCACGGTGGAAAACATACAGTAGGTAGGAAATGGTAGGAAGAGACGCGGGAAAGGTGTTGGGTTTGTCCAAAGATCGTGCATACCTGATACCCAGAAAATGGGCAATTCGAATGGGGACAATGATGATAAACATTGATAAACCCTAGGATTTTATAGGATTTTGGGGTGCACCGCCCTGTTTTTGTGGCTTAGTTGCCTTAGTCATCGACCTTTCAGGCCGGCCAGCCCTCATGCTTGGTGATGGCATCAATGACTCCACAGCTTTGGCGACTGCCACCGTTGGTGCTGCCATGGGTGAGACAAGTGCTGCCCTTGCAGCGAATTCAGCGGATGTGGTTTTAATGACTGACAAGTTGCAGCGCCTCACACAGTGTATCAGGCTATGTCGCTATGCATTTTGCATCGAGCGACTCAACATCTTCCTTCCATGTCTCGTGAAAGTCATCGAGATCGGCTTTGCTTGGTCGGGCCACTTGCAATTGTGGATGGCGATTGTGGCAGATCTGGGAACTTTGATGCTGGTCTTGGTGCTTGGACTCTCAGTCCTCTCACGGCGCTTTTGGACTGAGAAAGACTCCCAAGAATATTCAGATTCTTGGCCTATCCTGAATTTGGTTATTACAGACGAAATGATTGACATTGAACTGAAAACAATTGAAATTCCATGTAGTTCGATTATGTTCAATTTATCCTGATCCATCTGGCCTCCATGTCCTGATGCTGGTGTACTTCTCTATTTTTTGTTTCCAACGTCCAAGTTGTTTTGCCAAGGCAATCGAGAGTGAGACAGGTAGCAGTGAAACTGAGAGCTCATCCCAGACTCTGCAGAATGAATTAAGTGCCTAAATTTGACATATCGAAGATTGTCGAAGTCAGCTTAAGTGAGAGCAACAAATGATTTGCCTCACCAATCTATATTTTGAGAGCCAGATTCCACCTGGAAAAGGTGTGAATCGGCGCGAGGCTACACACTTCTTTTCTTTTGAGCCTTGCACAACAAAATTTGCGCATAAGGGGTACTGGGACACAATGTCATCGACTGAGCCAGGAGAGCACATGGTGACAAATCAAGAAATCATCTGGGAGTGAGCACAAAGCCTCCTCCACCACTTTTCCGACATTTCAATTCAGGGAGTGTCACTGACCAACGATTGCGACGTTGCTCCAGCTGCGAAAAGTTTTGCCAGTGGTGCGTGTTCCAACCTAGAGGTGAATCATGGTGAATCATGGGGTAAATGAGTGATGTTGTACCTTTCGGTATCTTTTCATCTTCGCAATTTCCATGAATATCATGAAATCATGAATGAATTTCACCTCCAAAATCATTGTTACCACATCCAGTGGCAATTTTGGAGTGGGACAGGGAGACCTTGCATGGAAGCAGCGATGGTGCTGCTGGCTCGGGAAAAGCTGTGGTGACTGCCGGGAGCCTACAGATTTTTCGCAGAAACCGCTGCAAGATGGTGCCCCCGGTATGTTTGTTTGTCACTGGTTTATAACCCCCAGGAACATCCATGAACTATAGACTATAGATATGTAATGATATACAGTGACATGATGTTATAAATTGATATAAAATAAACTATAACTCGTGATACAATAAATCCCAGTCATTGAAACTATAGCAACAGAAACCTACTGGGAAGCCCACCTTTAACACACCTCAGGTTGTGCTGAACCACTCGGGCAGCATCTTGAAACGCTTTGAGCCGGGTGAGCCCGTGGAGTTGACAGTGGCAGAGGCCGGCCACCGTCCCTTTGCTGCCCCCATTGGGGAAATTTATGGAAAAATGATGAACTACAGGATTTCGGCCTTTCAGATTTTGAGACAAGCCCATATATCAGTTTCTCGATGGTTGATGCAGTTGCCTCACACCTTCGTGGAGAGATACACTTGAGACAGACATGAAATTGGCAGGTCTTGATGGCTGCGAAGACAGATGAGTTTGGAGATTCTGACTCCAGGTGCATTCTACCAGCTGTTATGCCTCTAATTTGAAGTTCCCCTCGCTGTTTTCCAGATGCTCAGGCTCTTGCTAAACAATCGGTACAGCAACTTCGACGAACGTCGCTTGATGGATCTTTTGGAACATTTACCCTCTGGTTATTTAACATAGCCATGGAAAATTGCCCATTAAAAATGGTGGATCTTTCCATGGCTATGTTAAAAAAACCAGAGGGTAACATTTTCGGAACTATTTCGCTATTTTGGTGAGTCAAGAAGGACTTTGTGGACACTGCAGCCGAGGCATCATGCTGATGGACTCTCCCTTCGGCCTACAGGGTCCTCCGTTCCGTGCTCAGCGCAGGAAAGTTTATTGAATTCACGAACAGGGATGGCAGATGGCAGACACGACAAATAATAATAATAATAAAAATAATAAATAATAATAATAATAATATATAATAATAATATAGTAATTTAATAATAATAATAATATAATAATAATATAACAATAATACTATAAGAATGATGAGAATAATATATAATAAAAATGATAATATATGCTGCATAAATATGAATATATAGTAATATGTACTTGTACCACGAAAATGCTCGGTGAATTGCGCATTCGAGACAGTCCACTTTGCTTCTAATCCCATCCCCCTAATATTAAACACCAGCTAAATGCTCCCAAGTATGTGGAAATTCCCTACTAAACCATGGTTTTTGGGGGGTGTTTCATATTTTCATATTAGGGGGAAGGGATTACATTGTTTTCTGGCAACATGATCCTATTTTGACACTCCATGAAGCCTGCCTTCCACCACGCTGTACTTCTTCTCCAAGGCTGCGGTTGACTGGAGCTGACCTAAAACTCAAGCTCTCCTTCACCAACAAGGCATGAGATGGCACGAGCATGGAAACCATGGTGAACACATGCCTAGGATGTTGCCGCTTTCAAGTCTTTCAAACATCAACACTTTTTGATTGCTGGGATACTCTAAATGCGCTGACAACATTCAAATGTAGGGCGGGATCCCAGATCCGATACAGAGGCAGTGTACAAAAAACATGTTTTTTTTTCCGAACGTTTAAAGGATTTAAAGGTCTATCAGATCCGTATACGTTATGAAAATGTACTGGTATGATATATCTTCTTCCGGCTGTTGAAATGTTGGTCAGGCCTGCCAGGACCCCCACAGAGCTTTTTTTGTTTAATCCATTTAACATGTCCGCATGTTTCATATCATCAACTGCTTTCTCGCTTCGCATCTCGATACATGGTGCAAGGGCTATTGCCAGATGGACCTGGATTCTGATCGCGTCTACGTGAGCACCAAGGATGCTGACGTTGGGAGCCAAGTGCAATGCGCTTCGAGGCATTCATCGGCACATGAGCAGTGCTAAACCCCTGCTGGTTGTTGATTATAGGAGAATATATAGAATGGGCTAGCGCCCTGGTGCCGCCGACCCCCCCTATTTGGGGGGTCCTGTACAGAGATAGATGGATAGATAGATAGATAGATAGATAGACAGATAGACAGATAGACAGATAGATAGATCGAGGCCTGCTACGAGAAGGGGTCCGAGCTCCCACATATTGTTTGATTGTTTATTGTTCATCAGTATTCTATGGCACCCAGTGGACCACTTGAAGCGTCGCGAGCCAAGCAGATCATTTTACTCTATTACGTTACATACGTTACACTTTGTCTGTCGCCTCAGTCCCAGTTCATGGCAAGCTGAGAAACTGTGGCTGAACATGAGATGCTGACCATGGGTACGAATGGAATGCACATCATGTCCAGCATTTACCGGGAGGGGAATTTGATGAGCTATCTATCTCCAACCCCAAATCATCCTAACAACATCCTAGAGCATCGTATTGGAACCGCCAAAAAGATAGAAATGGTGGAAACCTGAAAAACAGATGGCTGGGGCGTGTAGCTGCGAGAGTTGCCTTGGAAAGGCCTGCGAAAGGCCTGCGGGAAGGTTTGAGGGGTTTGAAGGCGGGCAAGCGGCAGTCTTGAACGCCCTTAAAAACAGATGGCTGGGGCGTGTAGCTGCGAGGGTTGCCTTGGAAAGGCCTGCGGAAGGGTTGGAAGGAAGGGTTTGAAGCGTTTGACGGCGGGCCAATAGAGCTTCAACACTGTGAAAACCAGATGGCTAGGGCGTGTAGCTGCGAGAGTTGCCTTGGAAAGGCCTGCAGCAGGCCTGCGGGAGGGTTTGAGGGGTTTGAAGGCGGGCAAGCGGCAGTCTTGAACGCCCTTAAAAACAGATGGCTGGGGCGTGTAGCTGCGAGGGTTGCCTTGGAAAGGCCTGCGGAAGGGTTGGAAGGAAGGGTTTGAAGCGTTTGACGGCGGGCCAATAGAGCTTCAACACTGTGAAAACCAGATGGCTAGGGCGTGTAGCTGCGAGAGTTGCCTTGGAAAGGCCTGCAGAAGGCCTGCGGGAGGGTTTGAGGGGTTTGAAGGCGGGCAAACGGCAGTCTTGAACGCCCTTAAATGCGAGAGTTGCCTTGGAAAGGCCTGCGGAAGGGTTGGAAGGAAGGGTTTGAAGCGTTTGACGGCGGGCAAAGAGAGCTTCAACGCCCTGAAAAACAGATGGCTGGGGCGTGTAGCTGCGAGAGTTGCCTTGGAAAGGCCTGCAGAAGGCCTCCGAGGGAGGGTTTGAGGGGTTTGAAGGCGGGCAAACGGCAGTCTTGAACGCCCTTAAATGCGAGAGTTGCCTTGGAAAGGCCTGCGGAAGGGTTTGAAGGAAGGGTTTGAAGCGTTTGACGGCGGGCAAAGAGAGCTTCAACGCCCTGAAAAACAGATGGCTGGGACGTGTAGCTGCGAGAGTTGCCTTGGAAAGGCCTGCGAAAGGCCTGCGGGAAGGTTTGAGGGGTTTGAAGGCGGGCAAACGGCAGTCTTGAACGCCCTTAAAAACAGATGGCTGGGGCGTGTAGCTGCGAGGGTTGCCTTGGAAAGGCCTGCGGAAGGGTTTGAAGGAAGGGTTTGAAGCGTTTGACGGCGGGCAAAGAGAGCTTCAACGCCCTGAAAAACAGATGGCTGGGGCGTGTAGCTGCGAGAGTTGCCTTGGAAAGGCCTGCGGGAGGGTTTGAGGGGTTTGAAGGCGGGCAAGCGGCAGTCTTGAACGCCCTTAAAAACAGATGGCTGGGGCGTGTAGCTGCGAGAGTTGCCTTGGAAAGGCCTGCGGAAGGGTTGGAAGGAAGGGTTTGAAGCGTTTGACGGCGGGCAAAGAGAGCTTCAACGCCCTGAAAAACAGATGAGCAGCGTTCTAAATTCCCCTTTGCTTGTTTAGTATTGGGCTGGAAATAATTCCATCAAGTCGTAAGACTTTCCTTGGGTTTCGTAAGCAGTGCGAAAGGTTTGACGTAAGCATTGGTCACAAACATGTTGCCGTAAGCCGTTCGTAAGTCCATGTCGGGCCATGAGAGCTGGGGCTCAAAGAAGGTTGTGTGCTTCATTTGGTGCATGCTATTGAATGTTGATAATGTTGCCATTATGCCATTGCATATATATATATTATTATTATATATATATATATTATATTATATAATATATATATTATTATATTTTATATATTATATATTTTATATATCTACATATATATATATTATTATATATTATATATTATATATTATATATATATTATTATAGAGGGAAATCAGGCCGGAACGAATGCTACTTTCTTCACGGTGTTGTTTTCTACTTGGAATCTTGTCAACACCCAGCTTGCTCATTTGAGCCGCGGCCATGAAAGCGCCATCCATTTGCCAGATTCGCACGTGCTGCGGTGAACTGGTGCAAAAGGGGAGCAACCGTTTGCAGTGCCAGAATGCACAGCATCATTCAGCATGGCTCGTCGAATCTGATGGCGGCAACAAATGGGAATTCTCGACCCGGGGCATCAATTTTCTCAAAGGGAAACTGGTGACGCAAGCTCCTGCAGCCAGCAAGGCAAGCGCAGAGGACGAGAGGGCACTCGTGCAGCTTCTGGATAACCCACAAAAATTTGAGAAGAAGGAGGCCAGATGTATATCCGTGCTGGGTGTTGAAATCTTACTGGAAACATTGTGTTTTCTATTTTTTTTTGTGATAACGGACCCACCTGAAACATCCTTCCTTTGTCCGGACGTGCGTTGCCCATTCAGCTCAGGCGGTGGCAGACCCTACGCTGGCCGACTTGCATGGAGATCCAGTGCCTGAACGGCCGGTTCCGGTCGACGATGTCCAGAAGGATGGCGGGAAGGAGAAAGGCAAGCATGAGCAGCAAGTTCCAGAGATGTCAGAGACTTCCAAACCAACTACCTCATCAGTGCAACCGGCTGAGATTGTGAAGACTCCGGCCAAAAAACGGCCGCGACCAGACGCTGAACAGCCTGAGACGCCGCCAGACATGCCATCCAAGGAACGCAAAGTTTTTGGTGGCAAGCAGGTTCGCTCCGAGGGATGTCTTTGCTGCGGGTGCCCACGCCAGAGGGATCAAAGAGGCCGCCTTTGCCCTCTGTGCTTGGTGCACTGCAAGAAAGTCTTGGGGCACCAGCGCATTGAAGATCTCATGTCGGATTCCGATGCATTGCAAAAAGTCAAAGCCATGACAGAAGCCAAGCACGTGCAAGAGGAAGCAGCTGACAAGGCAGATCAAAAGGAGATGCTGAGCCGTTTGGAAAAGATTTTCAAGCAGATCCCTCGTTTGGAGAAGTTCATTGACCGGATTGATACGCTTGCTGGGAAGCTTGCTGCCGATGTAGATTAGACGGGTAAACCTGTCATTGGGTTTCAGCGTGCTCTTGTTGCCCCACAAAAGGGCTGCAGAGCACAGGTCATGCCTTATTCGATTCTTTTTCTGGATCGAATGTGAGCAGGGGATCCAGACATGAATATGTCCTGGCGGGCTGGAAAAAAGACATCTCACCAGGTCACCAGGGCATGGCCAAACAGAACTACGGCAGCCATTTCCGTCGGCAATGGTTTTGCTTATTGTCCCGCTTTTTAGCTTATCAAGTCTCATGTTGTCAATAGCAGGCACCCCCATCCCCTTATGATTTATTTGCCCGGGACAAGAAGCAAAACCAGCATGGTATGAAACTAGTGCAAATGCACTCAAAGTGCAGATTCCGTATGACGTGGTGGTGGTTTTGGTTATTGTCCCGCTGTTTACCTTATATCCCCGATTGTTTCAATTATGGATATCCCTGTATTTATTATCTATCTGCCCGGGACAATAACCCAAACCACCGAGGGATGGAACCAATGTACACAAACAAACAAGGTGTACTGTGAGGTGAGCCTGAGGTTTTGGGTATTTCCAGCTGTTTAACTAGGATTGAGTTATGTCGTGTTTTGTTTTTTAAGGTAGCCCGTTTAGTGAAGATCTCATGTTGAATCGATACTCAGAAACATAGAGGGACGATCTGGTGAGCACACATTCAAGATTTAACTTGGATACCCTACTGTTGGCTAGTATTATATATTTAGATATATTTAGTGCAGGTAGCCCCGCGGCGGGACAAGAACCAAGACCACAGAGGGATGGAGGAACCAAGATTTTAGAGTGCTGTTGATTTCACAGCATTTTTGAGGATTGATATGACATTCCATGACTTGGTGAAACATGTGACCATTTGGAGGGTTCGTTCGTTGGATACAGCAGGTAGACAAGAGGAAAACTATTGATTTGGCTTTGTTTGGAGATACGCTTCCTGATTCCATTCAATGGTTTATCATCATCTTCCCCATCAGATGTCAATTTTGTGAGATACATCCCCAAACACACCCATTTGATTTGACGTGTTTCCACGAAACGATACATCAATGGCATCTGTTTTCTTGACTCTGGGATAGTTTGTTTCTTGTTCTGGATCTGCAACACTATGTCTCAACACGTAAGCCACTCTCGGCTGGTACTGGTATGATTTAACCTCAACATTTGTATCCATGGTGACAATAGAAGGTTTCAACACTGTTTGATGTCCTCCAATTTCATGGGGATTATGTGACCCGCTCAGGATTTGCTCTGGTAGTTTGATATAGCTATGAAAAGGTCAGAGTGCTGTTGATTTGATAATTGCTTTGGTTATCCTCCGATGTATACTATAACTTCATTCTCTCAGAAAGGTACCCTTTTCAAGTGCATGTGAATGGATTTGATCAAAAGCATGGAGTCATGGAAACAGCTCACGAACAAACCGACTGCAGATTCCGCTTCTGCTGGAGTAGCAGGCTGGTAGGAACACATTTTATTTCCAACATTTTTGTTTGAACATCAAATAAAAATTCACAGATTCCGAATCGGAAATCGGAAATTGCCGTAAGCTCGGCGTAAGCTCACCGTAAGCAAGTCGTAAGCGAAGGTTGCCTTCAGTGACCCCTGGCACATTGTGTTTTTTTTAAAATTGTATCATTACATCTCTCCAAGAATTCTACATGTTCCCAACATTTCCGAGTGTTGATGTAGTCGTTTTTGTTTGTTGCGTATACTAGCAGAATACCTTGTAAATCTAAATAGTTAGAAAGGGATGCCAGCTGGCCCTCCTCAGAAGCCATGGACTGAACTGGGAAAGAAACGGAAGTCCGAGACTATAAAGGAAATTGCTGATCGCATTTTACCTAACATAGCTGCCCCAGATGACTACTATGATTTTTTGTTGAATTTGAACGCGCATATTGGCAAAGAACATCCTTCTATCCAAGAGCAAGATACAAAATGCTGGCAACTCATCAAGTACTTGTCTGAACTTCGCGGAGCAGAACAAGATTCCAATGAACCCACCATCAGCGTTCAGGAGTTGGACAGTGCAGTTACGCGATTAGGCTTTTCAAACAAAGAGCTAGCTGAAAAGGGTTACAAGCTCTCCAAGTCGCAAATTTTTTTGAAGGGTGTTCGCTCAGGAAGGCATGGTATAAAAAGAGGTCGGCCATCCAAACTTCACAACTCCGAATTCATCAACATTGTCTCCGCTGGAATCTCTCCGTTTGTCATTGATTCTGAGCAAGTGGCTGTCTTGGGCCGCGGTTCCAAGAAACGGATGGTGCTTGTGAAGCATCTGACAAAGACCAAGCATCGCATCTTCCAAGAAGACAGCGGCTTGCAAACGGCAATGTCTTGGGCGATCTTTCACCGCATCATGGCTACGCATTTCCCCCATATCAAGAATCCCAGGCGAAAAACCGATATTTGTAACTTGACAATAAACTTGTTTGTCTTTAAATTTTGCAGCGTGTTTCTTTTTTCCCTTTGCGTCGCTCGTACCTTTGAAGGCTTGCTGATCAAACATTCCAGGTGAACATTGCAAACATCTGGAAAAGAATTTGGTACCCAAGGCCGCCCGCGACATGGAAAAAGCCCGCTCGCATTTAGGGATGATCTTGACTACTTTGCGGAATTTGACAACTCTGCTGCCATGACTACTTTGCGGAATTTGACAACTCTGCTGCCATCAAAAACTTGCAGAAACAATGTGCAGATGATAAGGATTGCTTCCCCTTGCTGTCCCACCTCCACGACTTCATCGCGGATAAGAATTTCAACGCGTCTACAAACCCACACAGGCAAGCATTGGCATCTGGTACCCGCTTGGAGCTCCATACTTCTGAAGCTGCTGTTTTACACAGGTTGCGTGCCCAAGTTGAACTGTTGGAGGCGTACCGCTGGCATCAAATCTCTTCTCGTCGTCAAGATCGTAGCCTGCTTGCTCTACAGTCTATGTCTGCTAGTGATTCCAACGACTTTGCCGTGATCCAGGTGGATTTCAAAGAGAACGTTAAGTATCCGCTGAGCACCTCGCCTAGACTTTGGAAACCCTTTTTTTCTAATGTAATATCCTCTGTTACCCAATAAATTTAAGGTCTGCTGACTGTTGCCATGCAAACCTAAGGTTCACAGGAAACTGGCGACATGTGGCACGCGCAGAACAAGCTGTCACTTACTGTCTTTGGAGCTTACGCGGTCGCCCCTGGAAAGGCAGGTTACAAGGTGGAAATCTATATCTTGATCATTTCCGAGATTCTTGACCACGACGCTCAGATTGCTTGCATGCTTTTGAACAAAACGATCGGCCTAGTCAAGTCTCACCCGAAAGTGGATTGGTCCAAGGTCAAACGCTTGCACATTGCCAGCGACTGCGGACCACACTTCCGCTCCTATGAGAATGCTGCGCATTTCCTTTGGACACTCGTGTTTCGGCTTGCCTTAAAACTTGTAACTTTAATGCGTTTTTCTTACTTTCCCCCTTTACCCCTACGCTGCTACAACTCTCCGCTGCTGCTTTGCCCCAGGTTAAGGAACTTCAACTTCCTGTCTCAGTTCTCTACCTGGCTGAACAGCACGGAAAAGGGCCATGCGATCGCCTGTTTGGATGGTCTCGTGCATGGATTAACCACTACATTCAAAACAAATCAATTTTCAACATCTCCAACCTGGAAGCATGCTACCAGCAAGGCGCAGCAAACATGCAGCGAGAAGATCCACACGGACCTGCAATTTTGATACGCACCTTTGATCCTGGTCTTAACCGCCCTTCTCTCCGCAAGACTTTGCAATGCCCAGAGTTGAAAATCAGCAGGACATACAGTTTGTCAGGCGAGTTGAACCGGCATGCAACATCTGGGGTGAGCATTTTCAACCACGTTTTTACAGACACACCCTCACGAACCAGCCTATCAAATTGGAAAATTGAAGAAATGCTCTCGGATGAACTCATTCCGTGGCGGAAAGGTTACTATGACAAGCCTCGCTCTTGGGAAAAAGGTGGACCATCTCCAGGTGATCAAAACGAGGTAACCCGCCGCTTTGGCAGCCAAAAAAGATTCCAAACGCATGACATGCCTGCTCCAAGAAAAACAATTGAGGAACGGCTTTCCGCAAAAGCACAAAGCCTTAGCAAGGCTGCTGCCAAGTGGCGCAGAAAGAAACGTGTCAATGCCAGCGAAAGCGACTCAGACTCAGACAGTTCAACAACCAGTGAAAGCAGCGCTTCGTCAGCCGCATCTGCCGCACCTGCCCGCAGCGAGTAAAAAAATGCATCTCCCCTTCCCAGCATGTGTTTTTCACTAAAACTTCACTCTTTGGTTTGCCGGGAAAGTTTGCCGTAAGAGATGCGTAAGCTAGTTCTTTGAAGTTGCCGTGCCGTAAGCAAAACCTTGGAAAACGTAAGCGAACGTAAGCTCCTACGTAAGCTTTGAATTATTTCTCAGGAGATCAAAAGGAATTTTGAACACAGCTCAGATGGCTGGGGCGTGTAGCTGCGAGAGTTGCCTTGGAAAGGCCTGCGGAAGGCCTGCGGGAGGGTTTGAGGGGTTTGAAGGCGGGCAAACGGCAGTCTTGAACGCCCTTAAATGCGAGAGTTGCCTTGGAAAGGCCTGCGGAAGGGTTTGAAGGAAGGGTTTGAAGCGTTTGACGGCGGGGAAAGAGAGTTTCAACGCCCTGAAAAACAGATGGCTGGGGCGTGTAGCTGCGAGAGTTGCCTTGGAAAGGCCTGCGGGAAGGTTTGGTCGTAGGAGTTGCCGCGGCGCGTTCGAGGCCTTTGAAGCTTGGCAAACCGCTGAAACACAGACAAGCAATTGTTGCTGGAATGTGAGGGCCATGGCCGTGACAAAGCAGGTTCCACACCTCCGGCTGTCCCAGGCGCCGCCCCTGCCTGGGCCAAGGCAGGGGTCGGCGGATTATGTTAATCTAGCTTTTTACTATACCCAATAATATGTTGGAGATGATCATAATCCATGCTGGGAATTCCGATTTACCATGGAATAACATCGTGGATAGCTGCTCTCAACGTGACTTCTAGGTCGCCTGCCTCACTGTCAGAGCCAAGAGGGATTGGACGCAGAAGGTTCGTTCTGCTGCAGCTTCCTCAGTGCCTTTTGGGCGACTTTCCACTGCGCGGAGCGACCAAACCCTGAGGTCAGCACACAAGGGTCCTGGACCAGAACCTACCATGGACTCAAGGCCCGAGAATGGAATGAGAATGGAATGACTGTGCATTTTGAAATATTTTGAATGTTTGGGTTAATTTGTGGATTTATGTTATGAAATTTGAAATTTGAACTTGCATTTTTTTGCATTTCCCAGCTGCCTGCAGCATCCGGCTCTCTTCTATTTGTGTCAGATATCCTTCGACACCACTGGCCAGTTCGCTTCCTTTGACACCTTTGCAACTTTGAATGCAACACCTGTCTCAACGCAAAATTTTGGCTGCCATTAGAACAGTGAATGGCAGAGCAGCTTCCACCGTGAATTCATTTGAGGCACTATTTGAGAGTGCATTGCTTAGAACTATGTCCAGAATTTTGACGAGAGTGTAAGTGTAGCATGTTGATGATTGCCCTCTTGTACAGCCTCCGAAGTCAGTGTTCGATCGGGGTGTTGAGGCGTCACTATCGTCTTCATTTGGTTGCAAGTGCCGTACAGCCCTTGGCTGTGACAGGATGTGACTTCGAGGAGGAACCATAGCGGTGCGGCTCACTTTATGCAGCTTCCATGTGGCGCCTGAGGTCTTTCGTTATATATTTGATGGTGACTTTCATGCTCGGCACACTCTCACGAGTCTACTCCAGTGCTGGGCCCTCGATCTCACATTTTGTCACCATCTTGTTCTCTTCCTGCTCACAATTGCTGCCAGAGGCTTTTCTTTCGGTAAGATCCAGAGAGAACTTGGTGAACGATCTAATTAATTGTCTAGGGGGTAATGGAGGACAAAATTGCTACTGTAGCCAACGGAAAGTTAGAAGGTGCAAAATTGTCAGCGCGAGTCTTGAGATGCTCATGACGCCAAGTTTTCAGTGGATCCCAAAATGTTCGAGCAAGTAATGTCAACCCTGGAATAAACCTTTGTTGATTAATGGAGTACTCCCCTCAACTTCTAGTGAGAATCTGCTGCTAGATGGTACTTCCCCAATTAAACAACCTAGGGGTTTATCAATCCTGGTGCCAAGAGAATCGCAGCGTCTTGGCTTTAGGTGCTGCATCAGAAAGGAGGTCTCATTGACAGCACCGCTGGTGGGGAACCCCAAAACAGGGATGTACCCTAAAATTACATCGTGGCATGGGGTGTTAGTTTTTTGAGAGAACCCCATGCCATGATGTCATTAGGCCCATTGAAGGAATCCACAGCTTTCCCAGCATCTCAAATCCATGTTTCTTCCTCCAAGGAGTAAAACTCCAAGGGGGTAGGGTTTGTATGCGCTGGGTATGCTCAAGGAATCGCTGCTAGACTGATGAATTGCTGGCGCCTTATTTACGCAGTCTTTTTTGCGACGGTTGCAGAGAAGAAGCTGAAGTGTTTCAACAATGCATTGAGAATTTGAAGACATGTCCATCGCTAAACCACTCCGATGGTTGATGTGTGTTCTCTTCTTAAGCAGCCAGTGATGATTGAAGATGTCCAGCGGAGCGTTATTGCATTTGCTCAGATAGCTCAACCTTCAAAGACTTGCAGGATGATAAGGCAGGCTATGGTCCTGGCCCTGAAGATATTTGGGTTTGAATGAAAATTGGGGATTTCAATTTCAATTTATAATGTAGCAACTTTGATGGGTAACTAAACCAGCAACTTTGGGAGTATGGGGGCACCCTCTTTCAGACAAACATTTTTTTTTACATGGTTTTTCTTTCAAGACTGGCAGACCAAAGCCAGATGCTTTCATGGATTGGACTGTGCAGGGAGATGTGACAAAGCAGCGCATGGCAGCAAACTCAGATCAACTGAGGGTGACCAGCAAAGGATGAGCCGCAAACCTTTATGCACGTCCTGATCTTGCCCTGAACATCCCTGAAATCACTCAGAACCATGGATTTGTTAGTCATTCTTTTTCTCAGTGAATTAAGTGGTATTTGTAGAGATTTCTGCAACCCTCATGCAAGGTGGTGCCCCCCTCAGTTATGTATAAGTTGGTTTAACATGGTTTAATCATAGTAACTATATAGTTAAGTTGTAAGTTGGTTCAAGTAGATCGTACGTACGTATACTTATAGTTATATAATATAATATATATATAATAATATAATATAATATACATATATTAATATGATATCCCCCATGAACCCAGTGAAATTGTCGTAGCACGCCTCAGCTCCGACGCTTCAACTACATTCTGGCCTATGAAGATGACCTCGATGCCAACGAGCGAGAGAAGCCACATCCTCAGGGCGCTCCTTTGCATGTTGAGCTCCGTTTTACGGCGAAGGTACCCTTAGGTAACATCAAGTAACCAGGCAAGCTTCAGTCATTGAATCAAAGGTTTTCACTCTTGAAGTTCAATCATAGATTATTTCATGTATTACGATACTGGTAACTATCATAATTTATATCTATTTATGGACTATCGTCCATATTTTCGCAAAAAAGAGTTTGCCTGCCGGCTTGATGAAATCCTTTTTTGGGCCTTTCTACATGGATTGCCGGTGGATTTCCAGCCTGACTCTTCAGCCAAGGTACGTGGATTTCGTGTACAAGACCGTCCTGAAGGATGGCGAAGGCAGAAGTAAGCAGCGCTGTGAGATGCTGGAGTTCTGATCCGGGCTGAGCTGATTTTGGTGGCGGTGCGTTGTGAATGTCAAATCGACGTGTCCTGGAAGTGGACGTCTTTTTTTGTACCAATGATTGGTGAATTATGTTACAAATAGAATAAAGGTTATATTTTGGATATGTCGATATTCTATTTATTTTATTTGTATGTAGCCTCTGGTAAACTAACTTTAACATAGCTACTGAAAAAAACCATTTTTTATGGGTAATTCAACTACAAATGGCCATTTTCAATAGCTATGTTAAATTACCAGAGGGTAAAGATTGGTAGAGTACTTCAGCATTTTTGTCACGACGCGTCAAAAAAACCTTTGGTGTCTAAGGCTCTGCCTGCTCCAGTGGAGAGCCCCTGTCCTTCGAGGCGCCAAAGTGATTTCAGGTCATACAGCATTTAGCATGAAAAATCCCATTAAATCCCATTAAATCACCATTAAATCACCATGAAATCACCATTAAATCCCATTAAATCACCATGAAAAATCCCATTTATGAGCTGGTTCAAGATCTGCAAACCACTCCTGTAATTTTTTTCTGAGGTCCTTCAGAAGTTCTTCAATCGCAGACGCCGCGCAGGCGTTGTAGGAAGCTTGGTACTGTACTCTGGACAGCGGCAGCCATTGAAGTGGGGTTGGACACTAACATTCTACCAAGGCAGAGAGGCTGTTTCAGGACAGCAGCGTCAGTGTTGGGAGCTAAATGTTGGGGTTGGACATGGTTGGAGCCTGGGATCTGTGATATCGATTACCTGCCACGGCTCAGACCATCCACACAATCACGGATTCACAAGATCTGAAAGTAAGTGAAGAAGGCAGGGACACAACAAAGACAGCATAAACTTGTCATGTTATATATGTTATGTCATGTTAGTAATACGTATCAAGACAGTCCGGGCTGAGATCTAGGAGCTCCAGCCCCTCAGGTGCAGGTCTACTTTTTGTTTTTTTTGAGTAAAAATGAAGGTTGGAACCTGGATTTGATCAGCACAATTCAGCACACTTGCTGGATTTTATCCTGACCCTATGCGTGCAATAGATTCAAAGGTGTCCGACCCCCCAGGTCCCCTCAAGGGCAATCGATTCCAAAGAGGACCCTAGGGGGGTCAGACCCTTGAATTTTATCTCATCCCAATTTCAGGTCAGGCCCCTTGATTCCCTTGATGTTATATTTGGAAGGTTGGGTCTTTGAGTTTTATTTTCATCATGTTTGAGGTTTGGTACCTATTTTATTTTATATAAGAGGGTTCAGCCCCCTTTATTTTAGCTCCAACCTACACTTTTGATTGGAAAGGGAACAAAATCAACCTTGATTGATGAAAGCCACTGCAAAACTGGCATCAAACTGTAACGGTTACACTGTAACAAAAGTGTATAAAGTTTATTTTATTGAGCATTGCTGACACATTTATCAAATTCACCGTTACAAATCTCCTCACCTTGAAACCTTATTGTTTTTGAATTTTCACGTCAAGATATTGAAATCGACCCAAGCAAAAGGCTGCCAAATCCTGTACTTCTTCTGCTCCCGGATAGCTGCTTCGACCTAGCGGGGCGAAGCTGGGAGGAAAAGCTAAGAAGAAATAAAATCTATGTCCCCAACCTTGATAGATGAACCCCTCTGCAAAACAGGCATCAAACAAAGGTGCGCCTAATTTATTTTGATGGGAAAATTGTGACAGGACTTTATCAGCTTTAGCATCGCGGAAGCCCTGTCAATATTGTCCCCTCTTGAAATCCATTTTTGCGTTGAACTTTCACATCAAGGACAAATACTGAAATTGATCCCAAAGAAAGGCTACCAAATCCTGAAAACCAGCATCTCACCTTGTCCACCCTTGCTCCGGAATGGTTTGGGCCTAGCGGGGCGAAGCTGGGAGGAACAGCTATATAAAAAGAAATAAAATCTATGTCCCCAACCTTGATAGATGAACCCCTCTGCAAAACAGACATCAAGCAAAGGTACGCCTAAGTTATTTTGATGGGAAAATTGTGACAGGACTTTATCAGCTTTAGCACTGCGGAGACCCTGTCAATATTATCCCCTCTTGAAAAAAAAATGTTGAACTTTCACATCAAGGACAATTGATCCAAAAAAAGCTACCAAATCCTGGAAACCAACATCTCACCTTGTCCACCCTTTGCTCTGGAATGGTTTGGGCCTAGCGGAGCGAAGCTTGGAGGGAAAGCCTGAACATAACATCTGTGCCCCCTAATCTTGATAGATCAATATGTCTGAAAAAAATGCATGAAAGGTGCGCAAAACTTTTTGGGAAGTTGTGACATATTTATCAACTTTATCTCTGTTGAGAACCTTTCAAAGTGTTGGACACCTTATTTGAATTTATTTGAGGCATGGAGAAAAAAACACCGGGTGCTAGAATCCAGGAGGTCCATGGTTTTATAATATTCACAGATCAAACATATATGTATTCCAGATCCACACCATGCTCAACATATTCTTAGGAACCTGACCTTTGGTAATTTTGGAAGGTCCATGCTCCAAACTCACGGCCAATCTATCCAAGTCAGAAGGGTCAGGGGCCGGAGACATCAAAATGTATTAGATGTCCATTGTGGATATAGTATGATATGTCACATACATCATTTAAATCATATGCATCATATGCATTTATATACATCAGAATTACATAGTATAAATACATAATAATGCATATCATATATATATATAATTATATATAATATCACATTATATACACACACACCATATATACACCATGCGTACCTGATATATTCATTTTTTACAACCAAACACTGGTTCACCAGAGTCTCACTGCGCGTTTTCACTCACATCTTGCAGGCGATGATGAGCCTCTCAAGGACAGCAGCACAGTTAGAAAAACACAGTCAGCAATGAATATCAAGGAATTAGTGGTCAAATTGAACACTGAAACATTTTTTGACCATGAACTATTGATGACTATTGATTTGTTCCATATTTTCCAAATATTTTTGCGCAAGAATTGAAGACTGCGCACCTTTGCGCAGGCAGCTATGGCTGCGGATGCTGCCAGTCTCCGAAGGTCTCATCTAGGCACGCAGTTCTGAGATGACGATAGATGACATCCAGATGGGTATCAAAGGAGCCACGTAATGGAATATTGTTTGCTTTATTTCTAGTCCTAACTATTGTTGTTATTATTCTTGTTTTTTTTTACTATATTCCTGTAATAGTTAGGAGTGGTGTTATTTTTAGTTATATTAAAATTCCTATTACTATTATTTATTCTTTTTATTACAACACTTTATTGGCCCATTCACTTTGGAGTTGATCATTTCACTCGTGCGCTGGCGGCCTTGGCATTTCACCATGTTAGTCGTAGCAGGTGACGAGTACATGAAGAGCGGGTGCAGTGCTTACGCAGATGTCCAACTTGGCATGGCATCGATTCTCTCCGAATAAACTGGGTGGTCTGAACAAAGTGGGGCCCCCGTCCGATAGCGTTCAGTTGGTGAACATAACTCCAATAATTATGGTTTATGGTACCTATAACTATAGTTAATGGGGTTTATAAACCATCTTATAACTGGGGGGCCCCACCTTGTAGGAACCTCCCCCCCAAAAAAAAACTGCAGTTGATTGGGACATCTATGAAACTATCTATGAACAATAGGAACCACCCCCCTGACACATGAACAGCAGTGGGATTTTGGCAAGTTGTGACAAAACTTGCGAAAGATCCCAGGTCGCGTCTCACTGATATCCTGCTGGAGAATGACAACTTGCAGTCACGCCATGGCCTTGGATGGCCTTGGAATCATGGGACATTTGTGATGCAAGGCTGTCAGCTCACCATGTCAGGCTGCGCAGATGTCACTGAAAGTTTGGAGGAGACACTCAAGGTGGTGAGGCCCTCAGGTGTCAAGCGCTGGGATGCGCTGGGAACTCCTGCGCTGGGAGGCTTTGTCAAACTCAACGGATCTAAACGGGGTATTGATTACCAGATATGACACAGATATGATAGATATGTGAGTGTCATTGTTCCATTCTGACTTGCGGAGTTGTGCATTCCTTCAGGCTGCTTCAGTGATTGCTGATGGTGGGGAAGAAGGTACACGTGCCGACATCTATCGCGAGGAGGTGGGGTACGGATAGAGATTTGCAGAGCACCTCCCGCAGCTGTGTGATGTAAACTCATTGTTTGATGTTTCAACTTCCAGGTGCGAAGAATAGGACAATCCACCAAAATGACTCCGTGGCATCTGGCATGTTTGCGAATTCGAGTGGACAATTCAAGTGAAATTGCCAAGAGTGAGACACAGTCTGGAGATACTCGTATCTGGAGCACTTGTTTACTTCCAGTCGGGTGGTTTCCGTTGCGAGCTGCAGCTGACTGAGAATGGGAATGAATGCGGGGGTCCAAATTAAGGTAGCCTATCACGTGCTGCATTGTTTTTACTTCTCTTCAATTTTTTTGTTTTTCACGGCTCTAACATGTGTGAACAGGTTTGTAATGTCTTCCTCCTTTCTGTTATGGTTTGGCTATTTGGCTATTTCCCTCATGTCTTCCGATTTTCTTAATGGTTTTGTATTCAGGGAGATGATTCTTTTGTGAAAGCTACCCCTCGTATGTCCTTGTAAGGAATTTATAGTTCTTGAAACAATTTGTATCCCTGGTAGCTCTGCCCTCTATCGCATACTATCGCAATGAAAAATCGTGAACATATCGTGAACTTCTATTCCAATATCATTAGATCGAATTAAATGTCTAGATACTTTAAATATTCTATTAATCAGAGTGTTTGTTCACACTTTTTCCAGTATACAACTGGCTAGTTTCCCATATTTTCCATAATTTTCCCTGGTCCATGTCATGTTTCCCGGCGCGATGTTGTAGATGGGGTGGCCGATGGCAGGCAGCTGTTAGCCGATGGCAGCGTCTATGCTGGAGAATGGGTCGGAGCTGTGAGGCACCGTTTTTCTCATGTTTTTTCTTAATGATTCTGGAATATTCATGACCCATTAGTGATTTCTGTTTTTTTTAAAAGTTTTTTTCATGTTTTTCTTTTTTTAGGTTTTTTCTTATTGATGGATTTAGTGCTTGAGTCTTCTGGTGCCAGGCACGGTCGGGGTGTCTTGACCCGACCAGATGGCTCCTCCTATAGTGGTCAGTTCGAGTACGGAGTTGTCGAAAGCTCAGGGGCTTTTTATGGATGGGCTCATGAGGATCATGATTGATGGGATTGATGGGATTTTGTATGGATTTATAGTATAGTAGTGGGACAAAAAATAGAGTTGTGTGCTCGAGTTTTTCAGGGGATATCAGGGATCATCAAAGGATTCCCCAGCATTTCAATCAGCCAACGATGCGACAGTGGCATTGCCATGGCTATGCCACCTGGATACTGCCAACTGGTGCAAAGTATGAGGGACAGCCGCAGCCCTAGTCTTCGCCAAAGAATTGAAAGATAGGAAGTGTCAATCCGATCCGATAGACAGCAAATTTTGAATGCGTTGACAGTTGACACTTGATTCGCAAGAACTTCTTGCAGTTGAGTAGGACCAGTAGGAACCTCTTCTGAATTGCTACTTGTAATTAGATGAAACGCTTTCAGACTACCCCTTTTCCATCCGTATATATAATATATATATATATATTCAGATTTTGCAAATCTTTTTACATGTATTTGATGGTATTTCCATTGCATTTCCTGTTGTTGATCCATGTATCGTCACATGAAATACAGGTGGAAGAATGGCAAGCAGGACGGTGAAGGTCGAGAAACCACCACAGAAGGAGCCATTTACCAAGGCCCGAGATTCCCCAGCCCTTGAACACCCCGCAATAAAACCAGGGTCTATAATAGTCTATAATATAAATGAATTCCCAAATATTCCACATCTTTGGGATGAAAGAATGGGGCTGTTTAATCTTGGATATCTTGGGGAATCGGAAGCCATGACATTCACGCGACATTTTTGACATGATTTTACAACTTGTTAGACATCCTATAGAGCCAGGAACATGAAGAACACACTTTCTGTGAGGATCTTAAGTTGAGCCCATGTATGCCTATGGGCCTATGTCCAGTTCGGTATGTCTCCTTCAGTGATCTGATTCAGCCGCCTCCAAGAACACAGCATAGAAACATAATGACACACATATAATCACTTATACATATACACATGTCGATGTCAAGTTACATCCTGCAGAATCTGAACACAAAATCAGCAGAAGTTGTACATCGCCAGCGATGACTGTGATATCAGATTGGGCCAGGTGAATACAGCGAGGGCAAGAAGCAGGGGTGGGGATCCAAGTTGCGACCTGCAGAGATTGAAGAACATATCCAGCAGGTCTTGAATTTTCCGAGGCAAGCAGCCATCTACTACCCAGATGGGGCAACCTATGTCGGACAAGCCATGCCCTTACCAAAGGAGTCACATTTACATACATAATTTTGTTTTCAAATGGTGCTGGGGTCATTCAGTTGATTCCTATCATTTCCATTTATCCAAAGATGATCCAAAGATGCTATCGAGTCCTTCTTTTTGCACAAAGAGAAAGCACGAAACCGCAGTGCATCAAAACTTTCTGTTTGCTTACGAAACCAAAGGTGTCCGACGGTATGCTACATGGCACGCACCCTAAGATACAGACTCGCACGTGACTCTTGTGACATTGCACGTTACTTTGGGATTGCAGGATTCCCAAAAAATCCAGGATTTCATGGGGTACAGTATACATGACTATTCCTTAATTGAAACTCATTTAGAAGACGTTTTGGAATCCCATGACTGGATACAATTTTGGTCGTCTTTTCATGCCTTTTCCACCTTCCGGCACTGATTCGCACAGGCAAGGGAAAGTATCTGTGGAACAACGGCCACTACTACGAAGGCACGGCACACAGCACGGCACGGCTGGCTGGATCCCTGGATCCCTGGGATTTGGTGCAGGAGATTGGGAAGCAGATCAAATGCATGGCGAGGGCGTATGGGGCCAAGGTAGATCCTTCCATCAGACATCAGATTGCAGTCATTTCATGTCATTTCTATATAGTGACTGACACTTGAGCCACAAAGAAGTTAAATCATGTTAAATCATGTTAAATCCCTATGTGCTGGACCTGACTCTCCTAGGTCAGATCTAAAAGAATCAAACAGATATTGCCCATTCTCTTACTTTTGCAACATCCTGATCCTGTACCACTGAGACCTACGTATGGCCCACAGGGGCCAAATTCGTGGGAACCTACCAAAACAACCAGAAGCACGGTGGACTTCTTAGCACATTCTGGTGCACTTCTGCGCTTCGAAGTTGTGTCGCAAATGAGTTAGTCTGAAAGTGGGCTACTGTAATTGATGGTTATCGATGTTTATCGGTTTATCATCATTTTACCATGATTTTCATCAATTCTTATAGATTTTTCCCCTTCAAATGACATAAATTGGAGGTACACTCCATTGACCGTCCGTCGTGATTCCGAGGTTATGGAACGGTGTATTGGCCCGATGGCAGGACGGTGTCTGGAACGTGGCCCAGCGTGGCCTGGATCACGGTGGATCCAGTGGATTGGTTTAAGGGAAAATCTTAACCGGAAACCCATGGGTTTTTACCATCAAATTTGATGGGCTTTCCTGTAAAATTTCCCATCATCCAATTCTGTGAGATATGTACCGAGCCTTCAGGTACAAGCAAGGCATTAAGCAAGTTCTCTGATGCGAGGGACTGCCGTGGCCAGCGATGACAACTGGCCATCGAAAGCGTAGACAAGTGGGATGACTTGGGCCCAGATTGCAGGAGGAGAGTCGCACCCAGAAAAAACTCTGAAGAAATTGGTGGTGGAAACAAACCGTCTACATAAACCCATTTGAATGATTTTGAATGGTCGTTTTGTCCTTGAATCCGAACAGATCTGACTGAAGTCTCTCTATGCGTGTCTCTTGACCTGCTTCTTGGACCTGTGCATCATGCTTTCGTCGACGAAGTCGCGAAAGCTGTCCAAATCCTGCGGGATCTCTCATGTTTCACCACAACCATGCAATTGGGCTAGAAATGGCTAGGATAGTTTCCAACAGAGGCATGTATCTATATACATAAACACACCCTAGGCATTTGAGTTAGATCTTGTCTACTGCTCTAGATGTGAGCTTGCCTGTGGTAAAAATTAACAGATGGTCTCGCGTTTGTCTCGCGTGGGGCTGTGGGGGCTTCAATGATGCCAAAGGATGCCAAAGCACCAATGTGTCAGTGTGGCTGGGATTTTTGCTGGGATTTGGGGCGCCCAACACTTTGAAAAGCCCAAAAAAAGGAGTTTTCATACTTTCACTGAGGGTTAAGTCGAGTGACAAAGCAGTTCTAGCGTCCGAGGGTGATTTGATGGGCGACAGATCGATCTGTATTTGAACAGAGTAGCAATCTATTGGTGTAGTCACCTTTGTTATTCGCTCAGAGGACTAGTATTATGAAGCCTAATGCAAATATTAATACAATGTATGATATGACACTCTTTCATTCTCACACCTGGCACATGGATAGAAGCTGTTGGGGGCCCATTGTGTGGCCCTCGCAGCACAGCGATCTGAAACATGGCGATGAAAACCACACAACTTTGGGCTCACAGGAGTGTGCCATTTGCCGCACATTTTGCGTTATTGGGTTTATTGGGTATGTTAGATGCCAACTGCTGCCTCAGAAAAAGATGCAAAGACTTTGCAAAGATGATAAAACAAGACCTAAATCATCATGTACACACTGCACCGTGTATTTATCCTTTGCTGGAATGGTCTCATAGTATATATGTAGTATCCCAAAAACTGGTGACATGTAGAAGTGGCCCGGCAGCACAATCATTTACAGATAGATTATTTGGACAAACATAGAACATGATAAACCCCGCAGTTTATCCAACCAAGGATTGCATAGTTGCCTTCTATATCCATCTTGAACAGTACAGCGCCCCCCCGGAAGCTGTCCCGATGGCGCCCTCCAACGGTCTGGGTTCATAAACCCAAATAAACCCAATTGAGCCTAATAATTAAACCCATCAAACTATAGATGATTATCATTCATATGTGTATAACATGAATAATATAATATATATTTACATATCATATACATATCATGAACTATCATAATCCCCTATAGTTCTAGGAGACGAGCTCCTCCCTGCTATGGCTGATTTGTCTGGAGCCCTTTGCAATGCTCAGAGGCCCAGCTGATCTTATTCAGAGGGCAACATGTAACTTTTGTTGACGTGTTTCATGTTATAGTAGTTCATGATAATATTATAATATATTATATCATGGATGTTTATGATGAACATCTGGGGGCAAGACATATTAATTAATATGATATATGCTCATGATAATCATTATATGTTTTTTTTTTCTGTATCCATGTGAACTTGCTTGACTTGCTTGACTTGCTTGGCTCGAAGGAGCGCATCCACTTTGGAGAAGATCGCTGCACAGCACCTTGCCTGATAAGATCTCATACGAAGTTGTTTCCTGTTGCTGGTGGTAGCATATTGGTAGCATATTGGTAGCATATTGGTAGCATATTGGTAGCATATTGCCTTCAAAAGATCATGCTGTCCTTGTAGTTATTGCATCTTATCGGAACAGCTTTTATTTTAAGGGCTGACGCCCCTCGTCGGCTCCGCCGGATTTCTCGACCCTCCATTTCATCGCAGTGTGGGCTTGAAAGCTTTTGGATGGGGACCTGCTTCAGAAATATAGTCCTTATGTTTTTTGAAAAAAGTTCATCGAATAGGAACTTTGTTGGAAATAGACGGCTTTTTTTGGGAGCAAGTGAGTTCCCGAAAGCTCCTGCCAAGGGTTTTTCCCGAAGAACTGCTGCCAATTTCAACTTGTTACTTCGTGTAAAGGCGCCTCTGTGCAAAGACTTCTCTGCGTAAAAGCTTTTGTGTGTAAAAGTTTCTGTGTGTAAAAACCACTTTGTGTAAAGACTTCTTTGTGTAAAAGCTTCTGTGTGTGCTTCTCTGTGTGAAACGTCTGTGTAAAGATTTCACTGTGTGTAAAAGCTTCCGTGTGTAAAAACTCTCTGTGTAAAGTGTAAAGGCTTCTCTGTGTAAAAGCTTCTGTGTGTAAACGCGTCTGTGTGTGAAAGCTATATATCTGTGTAAAGACTTCTTTGTGTAACAGCTTCTGTGTGTAAAGGCTCCTAGATGTTTGTGTGCAAAAGCTCCTTAGAGTAAAGACTTCTCTGTGTAAAACCTTCTGTGTGTAAAAAGCTCCTTTGTGTAAAGACTTCTCTGTGTAAAAGCCCCTGTGTGTGTAAATGCTTTTGTGTGTAAAAGCTCCCCTGTGTAAAGGCTTCTCTGTGTAAAAGCTTCTGTGTGCAAACGCGTCTGTGTGTAAAAACTCTCTCTGTCAGGCCTTCTTCGTACAAAAAGTTCTGTGTGAAAAAGCTCCTAGACGTTTGTGTGCAAAAGCTCCTTGGAGTAAAGACTTCTCTGTGTAAAACCTTCTGTGTGCAATAAGCTCCTTTGTGTGAGGACTTCTCTGTGTAAAAGCCCCTGTGTGTGTAAAAGCTTGCTGTGTGTAAATGCTTTTGTGTGTAAAAGCTCCTCTGGGTGAAGGCTTCTCTGTGTAAAAGCTTCTGTGTGTAAACGCGTCTGTGTGTGAAAGCTATATATCTGTGAAGAGACTTCTTTGTGTAACAGCTTCTGTGTGTAAAGGCTCCTAGATGTTTGTGTGCAAAAGCTCCTTAGAGTAAAGACTTCTCTGTGTAAAACCTTCTGTGTGTAAAAAGCTCCTTTGTGTAAAGGCTTCTCTGTGTAAAAGCCCCTGTGTGTGTAAAAGCTTGCTGTGTGCAAATGCTTTTGTGTGTAAAAGCTCCTCTGTGTAAAGGCTTCTCTGTGTAAAAGCTTCAATGTGCAAACGCGTCTGTGTGTAAAAACTCTCTCTGTCAGGCCTTTTTCGTGTAAAAGTTCTGTGTGAAAAAGCTCCTAGACGTTTGTGTGCAAAAGCTCCTTAGAGTAAAGACTTCTCTGTGTAAAACCTTCTGTGTGTAAAAAGCTCCTTTGTGTAAGGACTTCTCTGTGTAAAAGCCCCTGTGTGTGTAAAAGCTTGCTGTGTGTAAATGCTTTTGTGTGTAAAAGCTCCTTTGTGTGAAGGCTTCTCTGTGTAAAAGCTTCTGTGTAAAAAGCCTTCTGTGTAAAGACTTCTTCGTGTAACAGCTTCTGTGTGTAAAGGCTCCTAGATGTTTGTGTGCAAAAGCTCCTTAGAGTAAAGACTTCTCTGTGTAAAACCTTCTGTGTGTAAAAAGCTCCTTTGTGTAAAGACTTCTCTGTGTAAAAGCCCCTGTATGTGAAACAGCTTCTGTGCGACTCCTCCATCCAGCTTTCTTTCGGGTCACGCTGTCGTCCAGTTTCAATCTGCAACATTGTTTCTTGTGGAAGAATGCAAAGAACAGGTGAAAGCATCGCAGGTTAAAAAATTGAACATAAACAGCGCACCAAGTGCTGTAATTTACAGCATTTTGTGCTGTCAGATGGCAAGAACCCGCGTAAATACCACAGTTTTAGTCCCCGAAAGTGGCTAAAACACTGTTATTTGCAGGGTTTCGTTCACGTCACGATCTTCGATTTTTTTGAAAAACGCGTAAATACCAGCGTTTTTTTGCGTTCATCAAGGCAAAAAATCGGTTCAGAAAGGGAAGAAAATGCTGTAATTTACAGGGGTTTGGCGCCGCCACGGGCAAAAAACTGCGTAAATACCAGCGTTTCGGCGTCCAAAAGTGGCTAAAACACCGCTATTTACAGTGTTTCGTGCCTTCCACGTTTTCTTGAAATTGCAAAAACACTGTGAATACCAGCAGTTTTTGCGATCAACACGCCAAAAATGCTGTAATTTACAGTGTTTTTTTTGCTTGGCTTTCAAAAACACTGGTATTTGCGGTGTTTTGTGCATCTTGGGTCCAAAAAGTATTGGTATTTACAGCATTTTCTGCGTTTTTGCATGGCTCCCGCGAAAGACGTTAAAACGCAAAAATGCTGTAATTTACAGCATTTTGTGACTTTCGAAAAGCGAAAGATCGTCCGAAAAATGTGTCAAAACGGCGCTTTTTTCCGATTTTAGGTACCCTCAAAATCGTGGGGGGGCGGGATTATGCTCTTGGAGACGCTTATGAGCGACCCGGATTCCGTCCAAAAAGCTCTCCCCCACCCTCCTGAAGGATTTTTGGTGTTTTTCGGGGCCCGGCGTCGGAGGGTCGGCGGTTTGGGGCGCGCCTCACCATAGAGCTCTAGTCGCTCTGGGACGCTCGTAGGGCAAGCCACTCGTGGGGAGCCGGCGGAGCCGAATTTAAGGGCTGACGCCCCCGTCGGCTCCGCCGGATTTCTCGACCCTCCATTTCATCGCAGTGTGGGCTTGAAAGCTTTTGGACGGGGACCTGCTTCAGAAATATATTCCTTATGTTTTTTGAAAATTGAAAAAAGGTCATGGAATAGGAACTTTGTTGGAAATAGACGGCTTTTTTGGGGAGCAAGTGAGTTCCCGAAAGCTCCTGCCAAGGGTTTTTCCCGAAGAACTGCTGCCAATTTCAACTTGTTACTTCGTGTAAAGGTGCCTCTGTGCAAAGACTTCTCTGCGTAAAAGCTTTTGTGTGTAAAAGTTTCTGTGTAAAAACCACTTTGCGTAAAGACTTCTTTGTGTAAAAGCTTCTGTGTGTGAAAGCTTCTCTGTGTGAAACGTCTGTGTAAAGATTTCACTGTGTGTAAAAGCTTCCGTGTGTAACAACTCTCTGTGTAAAGTGTAAAGGCTTCTCTGTGTAAAAGCTTCTGCGTGTAAACGCGTCTGTGTGTGAAAGCTATATATCTGTGTAAAGACTTCTTTGTGTAACAGCTTCTGTGTGTAAAGGCTCCTAGACGTTTGTGTGCAAAAGCTATAGAGTAAAGACTTCTCTGTGTAAGACCTTCTGTGTGTAAAAAGCTCCTTTGTGTAAAGACTTCTCTGTGTAAAAGCCCCTGTGTGTGTAAATGCTTTTGTGTGTAAAAGCTCCTCTGTGTAAAGGCTTCTCTGTGTAAAAGCTTCTGTGTGCAAACGCGTCTGTGCGCAAAAAATCATCTGTGTAAAGACGTCTTCGTGTAAAAACTTCTGTGTGAAAAAGCTCCTAGACGTTTGTGTGCAAAAGCTCCTTAGAGTAAAGCCTTCTCTATGTAAAACCTTCTGTGTGTAAAAAGCTCCTTTGTGTAAGGACTTCTCTGTGTAAAAGCCCCTGTGTGTGTAAAAGCTTGCTGTGTGTAAATGCTTTTGTGTGTAAAAGCTCCTCTGTGTGAAGGCTTCTCTGTGTACAAGCTTCTGTGTGCAAACGCGTCTGTGTGTAAAAAGCCCTCTGTTTAAAGACTTCTTTGTGTAACAGCTTCTGTGTGTAACGGCTCCTAGACGTTTGTGTGCAAAAGCCCCTTAGAGTAAAGACTTTGCTGTGTAAAACCTTCTGTGTGTAAAAAGTTCCTTTGTGTAAAGAAGTCTCTGTGTAAAATCACCTGTGTGTGTGTAAATGCTTTTGTGTGCACAAGCTCCTCTGTGTAAAGGCTTCTCTGTTTAAAAGCTTCTGCGTGCAAACGCGCCTGTGTGTAAAAACCCATCTGTGGAAAGACGTCTTCGCGTAAAAACTTCTGTGTGAAAAAGCCCCTAGACGTTTGTGTGCAAAAGCTCCTTGGAGTAAAGACTTGTCTGTGTAAAACCTTCTGTGTGTAAAAAGCTCCTTTGTGTAAGGACTTCTCTGTGTAAAAGCCCCTGTGTGTGTAAAAGCTTGCTGTGTGTAAATGCTTTTGTGTGTAAAAGCTCCTTTGTGTGAAGGCTTCTCTGTGTAAAAGCTTCTGTGTGCAAACGCGTCTGTGTGTAAAAAGCCCTCTGTGTAAAGACTTCTTTGTGTAACAGCTTCTGTGTGTAAAGGCTCCTAGACGTTTGTGTGCAAAAGCTCCTTAAAGTAAAGACTTCTCTGTGTAAAGCCTTCTGTGTGTAAAAAGCTCCTTTGTGTAAGGACTTCTCTGTGTAAAAGCCCCTGTGTGTGTGTAAAAGCTTGCTGTGTGTAAATGCTTTTGTGTGTAAAAGCTCCTTTGTGTGAAGGCTTCTCTGTGTAAAAGCTTCTGTGTGCAAACGCGTCTGTGTGTAAAAAGCCCTCTGTGTAAAGACTTCTTTGTGTAACACCTTCTGTGCGTAAAGGCTCCTAGACGTTTGTGTGCAAAAGCTCCTTAGAGTAAAGACTTCTCTGTGTAAAACCTTCTGTATGTAAAAAGCTCCTTTGTGTAAAGATTTCTCTGTGTAAAGGCCCCTGTATGCGCAAAAGCTTCTGTGCGACTCCTCCATCCAGCTTTCTTTCGGGTCACACTGTCGTCCAGTTTCAATCTGCAACATTGTTTCTTGTGGAAGATGCAAAGAACAGGTGAAAGCATCGCAGGTTAAAAAATTGAACATAAACAGCGCACAAAGTGCTGCAATTTAC